GGACTCTGATTCATCTTTTTCCAGTCTTAGCAATTTGGCAGAGATGTGTTGTAGGGAGTGGCTGAAGCTGGAAATCAATCACAAGTGTGGGGCTAGGACAAAGCCCGGGAGGACAGGGAGAGCTCCTCCAGCTATATAAACAAGCTGTTCCAGCTTGCAAACAGTTTGCTAGGCAGAGATACTGAAATTGACATCAACCTCTTAAGTGTATAAATAAATGCTCTGCAGTCTTTGGGCAGTTCCTTTCCTCCCATCCAGAGAGAGGTCTCCACCTGACCGCAGCTTTCCTCTTTTATCTTTATTTCTTCATCTTCTGCAGGTTTTCACCCCTGGGAACAGCAAGAGCTGTGCTGGTTCTATGGTAGCATGCAGGCTCAGGCTTTGTGGGCTCCCCACAAGCAATAGAACCAGTAGGGGCCTCCTAATCTGCTGGCTTAACTCTGATATGGACCAGTTTAGGGATTTTCAACTCAGAGACCAGGGAAGTAGGGAGTCCTTGTTGATGGGGAAAAGGACAAGGATCTTGGCCTTTTCACGTTCTGGTAAAGTTAGGGAAAATTCAACACTGACAGTAATTTGGAAATCCAAACCAGTGAGTAGATAAATAGTACCCACTGGCTGGGCTGGGCTGGGTAAAATAAAGGCAGGCACAGTTATAGCCATGCTGAGAATGGTGCATGCCCAAGTAGCCAGCTGGTGTCCTGCTATGGCCGCTGCCCTGAGGCTTTGCCTACTGAGTCCTGTGGACCATTTTCCCAGGATCCTTTCTTGTAGCTTTGTGTCATATTCTGCGCACCTCTGTGGATAGATTCTCTGCTGTCCCACACAGAGCATTTCCAGCATGTTCTGTCAGTGCCATACCTCAGCAACTTCTCCATACCAGTGAGTCATGGCTCGACCTTCTCTACAGAGGTCTGCATCTCACTGTGCAGGGAGAGGCTGCTCCTTACAGCTGCTGTGCATATACTCTTCGGGGTTCTCTCAACTTATGAACCAGTCCCTTGTCATGCCTTAGAGAGTAACAATTCTTTGTTTTTTTTTTTTTGGTTTTTCTCCAGTACCAGGAACCAAACTCACGACCTTGTGCTTGCCAAGGAGGCGCTTTTGCCGCTGAGCTAAATCCCCAGCCCCTGAGAGTAACAATTCTTTATTATGAATGTTCCCTGTCTAAATTACTGTGTGATTTCAGGCTCCCATTTAGACCCAAACTGACACAAAACTAATACACACAGTCTTATTGCTGGCTTTTGTGTGGGTTCTTCTCCTGGTGCATTTTTCCTGCTACCATGGTATACGGGTTAAGAGCATAAATGTTGGAGCTAGACGGCAGGTCAGAGGCTATATCCTGTGCTGGCTGGTGGGAGGCTTTTCTATCTCTCCATGCTTTGATCTCCTTGTGTGTAAAAGGGGAATGTCTTAGTCCATCTCAGCTGCTATAACAAAATACTCTAGACTGAGTAATTCATAAATAACAGAAATTGATACTTAACCATTCTGGAGGCTGGGCCATCCAAGATCAAGGTGTCAGCCGATTGAGTGTCTTGCTTGTTTTAGACGGTGCCTTTTATGTGTTTGCACATGATGAAGGCGCAGATGAGCTCTCTTAGGGCTCCTTTATGAGGGCCCTAATTATTTGAGGGCAGAGTCCTTAATCATCTCTCTAATAGCTCTATCTGTTAATATTACCACATTGGGGATTAAATTTTTTTTTTTTTTGGTACTGGGGATTGAACTTAGGACCTTGCACTGGCCAGGCAGGAGCTGTACCACTCAACTATCCCTCACCCCAGGGATTAAGTTTTAATCTCTGATTTTTGAGGGGAAAATGTTCAGACCTCAAAGGTGATTACAGAATTATTATGGGGACCTGATGAGTTAATGTATATAAAGCATTTGGCACATATTAAATTATATAAGCATTGATATTATTATCTTGAATACTTTCAACCCAGTCTTCAGGGTTTTGGCAACAGGCTTATCTCCCCTGGGCAGTCCTTCTCCCCAGGCTGAGTTAAGCTCCCTCTCTGTGCCCCTTACATTGCTTCACTGCATTGATCTTGCACATTATCGCTGCAGGAAGACTTGTCAGATAGTCTTTTCTAGTGGGACTGGGTGCTCCCTGAGGCCAGGGTGTGGCCCCAGGAGCTCACACTGCACCTGTGTGTGTGTGTGTGAGGGATTAACTGTGTTAAGTCCTTTGACAACCAGACACCAAGACAGGAGTAAGGGTGCAATGGAGAAAAGACCTAGGAGAGACAAAAGAATAGGGGACAGATAGCATCACAGATAACCATCAGACCAGGGTACAGGGCTGGAACCTGGAGAGGAGTGGGCAAGGGAGGGTCTCAGAGTTTGGACACTTGTAAAAAACTTCAGTGATCAGGCTACTGGGGAGTCCTTGAACCACTGTCACTCACTGGGGGCGTCACACAGTTCATCTGGTGTGAGAGTGCCACTACGCTCTATCACTGGCTGAAAGCAGCTGGTGGTGGCACAGACCTACATGGTAGTGGAGGAGGCTCTAGAGAAACAACAGCTGGAGCTGTCAGTCAGGACTGCTCCTGCAGCAGATCCCATGGCCATCACAGTTACCAACAGAGAGAAGGCTGGCCACACCCCAAGAATGCAGGGCCAGGAAAAGATGTGCAAGGATTTGTCACCTTCATGCAAAAAGAGGGTGTAGTCCCAGGTCCCTCTGAGAAGGCTGTCATACACGCAAGCACACACATATGCAGAAGTCAGTCCTTGGTACTTGAATGCATAAAACTACTCAAAATCTTACCATAACAATTACTTTCAATTTCGTGAATTTTCTCCCATGTTTACCATGTTTACATTATTGTAATCATCATGCAAATGGTACTTCATATGCTTTTGAGATAGGGTCTCATTATCCAGCTCAGGCTGGCCTCAAATTTATAATCTTCGTCTCAGCCCTGAGTGTTGGGATTACAGGTATATACCACCACATTCAGTTTTTTCAAATATTTCATATTTATAACTAGTGTTCCTTCAATGTTCCTACTATACTTTTCATAATTACAATTTTTAGTGGCTAAACAATATTCACAATTTCTTAAGTCATTGCTGTTCAACTTTTTTCCATTATTTCTACTTCGAAAAGTATTTACTCCTAATACATTTATTTATTTATTGGCAGCTCTAGAGATTGAACCCAGGGCCTCAGGTATGCTAGGTATCTTGGTTACTTTTGCTGTTGCTGGAACAAAATACCTGAAAGCCACAAGTTAAAGGAGCAAAGGTTTATTTTGGCTCATAGTCTGTAGCAGTTTCAGTCCATAGCTGGTTGACTCCAAGGCAGGGTGGTAGTGCAGAGGAGAAATAGTCCATGGCAAGCAGGCAGCAAGAACAAATTAACTCTCTTTCTGTCCCTTATATTTTATGCAGGCTACCTGCCCTAGGGTGGGTGTAGCACTCACACCCTTAATCCTAGCCAAAACTATGCCAAATCAATCAGTGGAGTGATTTACTCATCACACACTACTGAGGCCAGCATCACACACTCTAGATCCAGCCACCTCTAAAAAAGCACCCTCTATGACTGTGTGAGGCTTTGCAGGGGACATTTAGACACAAACCATAACAGCCCATTACCTCTGCGTGGTGCCATGCTGGGACCAAGCCTTTAATACATGGAACTTTTGTGGTCATCCTAGATACAAATGATAGCACCCTGTGCATTGCCCTGTTGTATTGTTTAGAACCAAGGGGAGATTACACTAGGCTGAAAACAGCAGAAACAGAACCATTCAAAAGTATCACAAAGAGCAGATACAGTGTCAGCAGTAGCTAAGCTTTATTACTAGTGAATGCTTTAGTGTTCAGATATGACCATTACAGCAGATGTAAAAGACTGTTTCCCTGTTATGACTTGTGTCTACATGTCTTTCCAAAGTCTTGTGCAGTTTTAGATGGGGCCTTTTTAGAGGTGGCTGAATCTAGAGTGTGATGCTGGGATTAAGGGTATGTGATTACTGAATCAGTCCATGGATTGGTTTGTTACTGCCCTAATCCTGGTAGCCTAGATAGACTATAAAAGGGGCAGAAAGAAGCAGTTAAGGTCTCCTGTTGCTTTGCCACCTTCTGGCCACCATGAACTGTTCTCTGTGAAGCCACCCTGCCTTGCAGCCAGCTGATTATGGACTGAAACCTCTACAAACTATGAGCTAAATAAACCTTTACTCCTTTAACTTTGGGTATTTTCCCTAACTAAGGAAAGAAAATAACTAACACACTCCTACCTTAGTTCTTTCTTCTTCATCCCACAGTCTCCCCGAGGCCACCTGAGTCCTTTGAGCTCTGTTGCTGCCAAGTAATTTCCTAAAGGTGTCAACTGATAGCACACTCAGAATTGCTCTGACTGGGGCCTTGAGAAGCTGTAAGTAGAGCCATGTTAAGCAGCTGTAAGTTCCAGGGAGGCTCCATTTCCAAAGAGGTGCTAGTATTTGGGCAGCAGCTCCAAAACCTGTGCACCATGGTACTTGCACCACTTAAAAGCACAACACAGGAAAACAATTTTTTATAGTCCACCATGTACTTTCTCCAGGCTCCACATGTGGCAGTAGTTTCTGTGTGTGTACCCAGCTCCAAGCACACTGGATGGGCCATGCTTTGAGGACACTGGTGGGGACAAAGGCAGTGGGCCAGCTAGGGTTGGGAGTGGGAGAGCTAACGCCTGCACCATGACTGAGTCTTTGTTCCCTGTATGATGGCTGTGGCTAGATGTGCACATGTGTGTGACTGTGGGGCAATGAGGCAACACACACACACAGAAGGTGAAGACTGCAGGGGTCGTTTTCGGGGCAGAGGGTAAGCTATGTTTGGGGTCTGAGAAGACCCCATGAATGGAGACAGACTGTGACTTGGATAAGAGGGAGACAAGTAAGTAGTTATTTCAGAGGCTTGCTCTCTCCCATACTGGGGCTACCTTTTTGTATTAGTCTGTTTTCCATTGCTATCACAAAATACTTGAGGTTGGGTAATTTATAAAGAAATGTTTATTTAGCTCATAATACTAGAGGTCTGAGCACATGACACCAGCTTCTGTTCATCTCTGGCAAGGACCAAATGGTAGACGACATCACAATCATGAGTGCATACAGGAGAGGTCACATAACGGGACAGGAAGCCAGTGAAGAGGGACCAATTTTGCTCTTTTTAAAGAATGTGCTCTTTCCGGAGTTCACTTCGAGAGATCAGCATTAATCTTTTCTGATGGCAATAACCTAATTAGCTCCCACTGGGCCCAACCTCTTAATGGTTCCACTACCTCTTAGCCCTGCTACACTGGTGACCAAGTTTTCAACACAAGAACCTTTGCAGGACAAAGCACATCCAAACCAGAGTACTTAACATTTTGGGTAGCAAAGCAAGAATGCCTGGTACTGCCACTTTGGCTCCTGAAATGAGTAAGCGGAGACAGGGTGGGCGTGAAGAATGGTGAGGTGGAGCCCATCATGTCCAGACTCCAAAATACACTTCTTTCACCAAGAGTTAGGTGGCCCACACAGCCTTACTGCCTATGATATACAGAAACAGCTGGGTGACATCCCAGGGAGCCTGGTGAAGCAATATTTGCCAGGGTAGAGACTCATTCAGTCACTACCTCATCTATCCATCTCTCCGCTTACCAATTCCATACCCTGTGGTGTTCTAGGTATTAGAAACCTGTGTGTCCCATCTTGAGGTGCTGAGTCTACCCAGGTTTAGTGAAGGGATCTGCAAGCTGTTATAGTACACTAGGCTCCAGCAGGGAGAAGGATCTAGCAGATGTGCCATGCCCAGCCCATTCTTCATCCCCAGCGGTCCCACTCTCCTCTCGAGGACTCCTGCCAGGAACTATCTGCCCACTGAATACCCTTCCCTGAGTGAGGCCTAATCCCTGTATCCTGAGTTACACTGGCACCAGGCTTCAATTCTTCAAAACTCTTCCAGGGAAAACATAGTTTGTATGAAAGGAAGTTAGACCTGGCTGTCACAGCTGTCCTCACTTTAACCTGTTGGGGCCTCCTGCCCAAGGATGAAAGTCCTCTGGGTTTGTTCTACTCACCACCAGGGGGTCCAAGAAAGCAAGCAGGACAAAGAAACAGCTCTCCCTGGGTTCCGAGGGACACCAGGCCAGGCCTACTGCCACATCTCCCTCTGCTCTCCTCAGTGTTCTGACTTCTTCTCCCACCCAATCCCTCCCCTCTGCAAGTCCTGACTGTGCTCCATGCCCAATAGGGAATGCTGTGGGCATCTCAACAGAGCCTATGCTGCAATGGCCTGTTCCTTCTGCTGCCTTCAGGCCTAACTCTTGCCAGGTTTTGCGGAGGCTTTCCCTCTCCTTCAGGTGTATAGGCTCTCCCTATGGCATTCTTGTTCTTCCTCTGGGTGTGCCATCTGCATTATAGGACCCTACTGGTACATGGTCCTTAAGGCCACATCTAAGGCAGCCTAGGGCCTCACTAACTTCCTATCTTGGCCCATTTCAACCTGTACCACAAGGAAGAAAAATTGGAATTTGACCATCAGGCACATGGGGATGGGGGTGGCTCTCTCTTGCAGGGAAGGGCCTGACTTCCCATGGCCGATTGGAATTCAAAGACCAAGATGCAGTGCCTCCTGTTTATTGTTTATGGTGCTCTGCACCAGGCCCTCATGTCCATCCCTTCACACAACCCTGCAATCCTGTGAGGTAGTTTGCATCCTCCCTGTTGCACAATTGACAAAAGCAAGGCCCAGATTCATAAAGGGACTTGCTAAGGTCACTGAGATCCTAAGTGGCAGACAAAGGCACAATCTAGGCTACTGGACTCCAGTGCCTGTGATCATCCTGACTTCGGGCTGTGCATGCAGAAGGACTAAGAGATGACCCCAGGGTCAGAGGCAGCATGGTGCTGGCATGAGCGAGAATGGTTCCGGTGATGAGCCCCTCAGGAGCGACCTGAGTTGAGAGTCACCCTCCACACTTGCAGTACAGAGTCACGGCGGGTTGTATAGGGTAGATGTTTGATGCGGAACCAGTGTCTAGAGACAACGTTCCCACTGGGTGTATACAGTTTCTCTCCGTGGCTGCCCAAGAGGCTGCGCAGGGCCATGTTGCCCATCAGAAGTTTCTCGTAAAACTCCACTCCACCCCGGCCATAGTCTGCAGAGAGTGAGGCCGTGCGGCGGTCCAGCCAGCCTTCCAAGGCATGAGTGAGAGAGTCTGTGGAGAAGGCATAGAACACAAAGCCCGCCACTGCTGCCACCAAGTTAAAGGCGGCTCGTAAGTTCATGGGGCCTCCATAGAGTCCCAGTGCATGCTTGGCACCCACAGTCAGTGCCCAGGTTCCTGCCAGGCAAGCTGGGGCTGGCAGGGCCTGCAGGGCAGCGGCACCGCTCTCCAGGTATACCACCTCTCTGGCCAAGGCGAATTTTTGGGCATCACGGGTTAGCGTCAGGGCCTCTTTTAGCCGAGTGCCTGCTGGGCTCTGCCAGTTGACACTTTGCCCATGTATGACCCCAGGATGGTTAGTGTTGGTCACTGGGCCACCCAGGAAGTTGGCGGGGATGCCCACCATGGCCCCAGCAGGGAGTCTTGGGAAGCCAGCACTCACAGGCTGGAAGGTGAAGGTGGTGAAAGGCTTGTAGCAGTGGCCTGAGGGGACGCCCATGTCCTGTAGCACCTCTTGAAAAAGACTCTGCAGCTCTGGAGTGAGAGGGGCCGGCTGGCCTTGAGGCCAGTACTGGTAAAGCCACTGGGCAACAGGATCCGCGAAGAGGTGGTAAGAGATTTGAGCTCCAAACAGGCTTGTGCAGGAGCCCACCAAGAGGGCTGTCCTGTGTCTCTGGACAAAGGCTGTGGCCCACCACAGGGGGCCAGCCATGAGTGCTGCTACTGCTGACAACCTGGCCAAGAAAAACAGACATTAGCTGACGGTTCCCAGGTCTGCTGGCACACTAAACATCCAAGCGCCATATCCTTCTTACCTGCAGCAGTACTGCACTGTGGTTAAGAGTATGGGTGTCAGAACCAGATCTCTTGAGTTTAGAGCACTGTTTCTCCGTCTGCCAAGCAGGCATGTGACAATGGACCCCCTCGAAGGTAGATGTCATGAGTACATGAATGAATATACACAGCAATGTGTTTGGGACAGTAGAGGCATCCCTTGTGGCAATGGCTATATGTACTATCTTTATTCCCATGGCTAGGTACAGCACGAAGTACCCAATTGCCTCACCATACCTCCCTATAATGGGGTTTCATCCCATATGAAGCCCCATGATGCTAATTTATAAATGAGTCACATGTTCAATTTATTGAGTACTTACTACATGCTAGAGTACTTACTACATACAGTTCTGAGAGCTTTGCATATATAGCTGTCACACAGGATCTATGAGGGTTTGGTTCTGAGGCTCCCCCCCATAGATGTCAAAATCCAAGGATGCTCGGGTGTTTTATATAAACAGGTGTGGTGTTTGCATATAACCTATGCATATTCTCTCACACACTTTAAATCATCTCTAGACTACTTTTAATATCGAATACAATGCGAATGCTATATATAGTTGTTACACTATACTGTTTAGGAAATAATGACAAAGAAAAACAAAGCCTGGGTGTTCAGTACAGACACAACTTTTCTTTCTAATATATTAATTCTTGGTTACTTGACACCATAGATGAGACTACAAATATGGAGGACCAACTGTATCAGGCCAAAAAAAAAAGTGCCTGTAACACTAATAAACATAGAGCTATTTAAATATGTACACATACTTACATATTCACACACAACACACACATAATCATCTCCTCTGATCTGCAGGGGATTAGTCCCTGGACCTCTGCAGATATCAAAATCTGTGGTGCTTAAGTTTTTTACATAAAATGGCTTGGTATTTGTATACAACATATATTCCATCTGCCCACATGTTTTTAATAATCTGCAGATTATAGTATCTAATACAATGTAAAATTTAATTATATACTGCTTAGGGAATAAAAGTCTGTATACATCCAGTACTGATGGAAAAAGTTTTTCCCAGGTACTTTCAATTTGCAGGTTATTGTTTCTTTTTTTTTTTTTTTTGGTACCGGAAATCGAACTCATGACCTTGCACTTGCCAGGCAGGAGCTGTGCCACTGAGCTAAATCCCCAGCCCTTAATTTGCAGGTTATTGAACCTCTGATGTGGAATCCGAGGATACAGATGGCTGACTGTACTACTGAATAAAGTCCTCTCAAGCCCCAAGAGCTCTACTATGATTCCCCTATTTTAAGGCTGTGAAAATTAGTGCAAAGACAGCTTAAATTAATTGAGCAAAATCCCAGGCTAGAAAAGTGGCAGTGTTATGGACTGCACTGTGTCCTCCTAAAATCATGTTGAAGGCCTAACTCTCAACATCTCAGAAAGTGACTGTGGAGTCTGGGTCTTTACAGAGAAGAGCAAAATGAAGATGTTAGGACTGGCTCTACTTCAATCTGACTGGTGTCTTTCTAAAATGAAATTAAGATACAAACATATGCAGAGGGGAGAACACATGCGGACACAGAGAGAAGGACACCTGCAAGCAAAGAGGCCCTCGGAGAAACCAAACCTGCCCACATCTCAGGTCTTGGACCTCTAGCTTCCTGTGAGGAAATAAACTTCAGCCAGTTAGGCCACCCAGCCGATGGCACTGGTCACGGCAGCCCCAGCCAACAGGCAGAGAATTTGAATACAGGCTGTCCGGCAGGCACAGCAAACCTTCCATTTCAGAAAACTTATGCTAAATTACGAACATATACCAAAGTAGACTAAATAGTACAGTGGTTCTAATCATCGTGAACTCATAGCCAATACTGTTTCATTTCTATTTCCACTCACACTCCCCTCTGACTGGTTTATTATGAAATACCCCGGGACCCCGATCAAATATGTCACTATTAAACACAATTATTCAACTTTGGCTGAAGCATACTGTATTCCTGAAAAGTGTCTAACTATCACTGAGTTGCAGCAAATGAGATTGCTGGATGCTCTTTGAATTATTTTAATCGAGATCTTGGATGGGGGTGTAACACGGTGTTGGGCATTTGCCTAGCATGCTGGAGGCCCTGGGTTTGATCCCCAGCGCTGGAAAACAAAACAACAAAGATAAGGCATTTAAAAAGGTCACATCACATGAGCCTTTCTTTCAAAACACCACACAGGCTCGGAAAACGAAGGATCTGAAAAGTACTAATCCCCCTCTTCCCCCAGACCAAGGTGCGTACTGGGGTCGCTTTTGGAGATGTCGCCGCGCAGTTCCGGGGCGGCTGGGCCAGGAGGCCGCTACGCTTCCACCCTGGGCCCCCAAGGCTGCTCTCGGTATCCTGCACACGATACGGCAGGACAACGAGGTAGGAGGGGAAACTGCGGAAGAGGGAGCAGTTCCGCAGGGCCCTGAACACGACCACCCCGCTGAGCGAGCTCACCTCTGCTGCTCCCGGGGACGCGGCGACACGTGCGCAGGGCGGACGGGCGGGCGCAAAGCCTGCCGGCCAGGCTCCGGGGCGGGGCCGACAGGGGGCGGGGCCTGAGAGGGGCGGGGCCTGCAGGGCACGGTCAGGAGCCCAGCGACTCCTCCGCGAATTGGGAACGCAGGGACTGCAGAGGCTGGGAGCGCCAGCAGCCTTCCAGCTGCCCTAGCCAACGCTGGCGTCTCCACCCCTAGAGAGCACCTCGGCGCGTTCTGCTGGCCTCGGAAACCGCCGCGCGGAGACCGAGGTCATCCGGTTTAACCCTGGAAGAAACCGCAGCCCCGCTTGTCACGAGTCCCACTGGGTCCCATGCCCATCCGACAGCCAGGCCTGTGGTGCTTTTCCTGTCTGGAGGAGCTCGCGGGCTCGCTATTATTACCGCGTCTGCTGCCCACCAGCTGCTCCCAGATGCTTCCCACTGGGCAGTCTGCCGAGCGAGGTCTCTCGTCACTTCTTCCCAGCAGCAATGTGAGGTAGATAAGAGATCAGCTCGCCTGTGAGCCGAACCATGTGCCACAAGATTTTGTAAATAAAATTTTACCAGAATATTTATCCCTTTTCCTGTCCATAGCTGCTTTCCTCCCAGAAGGGCAGAGTGGCTAGGACATTCTGGCTCGCAGCATATTATTTGTCTCAGTGAAGACTGGGTGGACCCCCGAAGTCAGTGATCCCCACCAGTATGCCCACTATCCCTGTGTGCTGTATTTCCCATTACTGCCTCTGCCTCCATACAGATTCTCTCTGAACTGTGTAGCGAATGCTCCCGATTGGATCTGGCTTCTGCGTCAGGCTTTCTCATCCATTCTAGCTTCTGGGGAACAGGGCTCACCTCCCAGGCAGAAAGGTGAGGATGTTAAAGATCTGGAGGCGTGTGGGCCTTGGAGTCAGACTTTGGTCAAGGTTAGCAGCCCATGGACTCCGCCCAGAGTCCTGCTTGGGCATACTGCAGCCAGCCTAAGAAAGACCTTAAATGTAAAGGCCGTCATTTCTTGGACCTCGGTTTCCTTCTCTCTAAAGTGAAGAGAATATCTGTCTCAGAGGGCCCAATTACACTCCTAATCCAAGGAAAATAACTACACGGACTAGTCACTTTGTATAGCTGAGGGAAGGGGCACTTCAGGTCATGTGTCTCCGAAAAGGAAGATCTGACCTCGAGTCATCCCTTCGGTGTTGGCCTTGATAAGCACTGTGTTTGGGTTTGATCCCACAAAGGGCTGTGGGGAGCAGATGTACATCTGGCAATGACGAAAGCCCTCAGATCCTGGAGCCAAATTGTCTTGGTTAAGTCTGATCCCATCCTGTGTTGGCTGTGTGATCTAAGGCAAGTGAACCTCTCTGAGTCTAGTGTTCTCATCTGTAAAATGGGGATGAGAGTACTATCTACCTCCTGCTGTGTGGGGGATAAGATGAGGTCATGTATATAAGGTCCAGCACAGTTTGTGCAATCTAGTTATTAGCAATTATTATTAATCAGTTCAGTTCTGAGGTCCCAGTTTTGGTTGCTCAGTTATTTGTATGTAAATAATGCCATGACCTTAGCAAAATCTAGAATGTGGGATGTTCTGCAGGGCAAATGAAGTGGTTACTGAACCAATCAATGATATGCAAATATGCAGGGAGGAGGGACTGTTATGAAATAAGAGATTTGCAAAACAGCAGTTAAAGGCTTTTGCTGGGATCCTAAACTAACTATAAAAAAGACCCCTTTGAGAAGATATTTGAGCATGGATTTTTATAAAAGATATGATGAAGTACTGTTTATTTTATCAGGTAAGATAACAGTATGGGGCTTATATAAACCAAAAGAAATCCTTATTAAAGATGTATATTGAAGTATTTATAGATGAAACAACATAATGTCATAATGCTTTGTATGGTGCAGGCAAGACAAAAATAGAGGCATAGATGAAATAACATCGACAAAATGTTAGTTACTGTTGAAAGGGCATAAAAGGTCCAATTTTTCATTTTACCATTCTTTACTTTTGTGTGTTTGGAAATTTCCATAATAAATTGCTATTTTAAAAAGTGCTTTTAAAAGCAGGCTGGTCACTACAATTCATAAAAACTTTTGTGTATCAAAGAACACTATCATGAAAAGTGGAAAGAAAATCCACATAACAGGAGAAAATACTGCACATTAGACATCTGGTAAGGGTAATGTATCCAGAATATGTGTAGAACTTGTAACAACTCAACACAAAATTAAATTAAAAATGGGACACAGTTTGGCAGTTCTTCAAAAAGTTAATGTTAGAATTACTACATGACCCAGAACTTCATTCCTAGAAATTCATCCCTGACATTGAAAATAGGTATTGAAATAAATATTTGTACACAAATAGTCATAGCAACATTATTTACAAATAGCCAAAAGGCGGAAACAACCCCAACGCCAGTCAGCTGATGAATGGATAAACAAGATATGACATATTCCATACATTGCAAAATTATTTAGCCATAAAGCGGAATAAGGCACTGATACATACTACAGTGTGGATGACCTTGAAAACATTATGCTAAGTGAAGGAAGCCAGACACAAGAGCCACATACTGTATGATCCCATTTACATCAAATGTTCAGAATAGGCAAATCCATTGAGACAGACAACAGACTTGTGGTTACCAAGGAACTGAGGGCGGGTGATGGGGAATGACTGCTAACAGCTCTAGGGTATGTTTTGTAATTACTAGCAATGCGTGTGTGTGTGTGGGGGGGCGTGCTCTGGAGACTGAACCTGAGGCCTTGTACCTGCTAGGCAAGTGCTCTACCACTGTTCTCCATCCCCAGCATGTTGTGGTATTAGATAGTAGTAATGGTTGCACAACCTTGTGAATGTACTAAAAGGCATGTTTTTATACTTTAGAAAGGATAAAATGATAAACTTTGTTATGTGAACTTTTATTCAATAACAAATGTAAATATCTATCTGGAGAGAGAGAGAGAGAGGGAGGGAGAGGGCACCAAAAATGTATACATACTTCAAGAAAAGGAAAAGAGTACAATGTTTTTTCAGCCCTCATATGGGGGACCTTAGAGGATGCCATATATTGTAGAAAACCCACTACACTGCCGGCCTTTAGAGAAGAAATTGCATGTGTAGCAATCTCAGTGATCAAGGTTACCCAAGCAGCAGTTTGTCCTACTCATAAATGTCTAGAAGCAAATGACCACCACTTTGGGTACCTCTTATAATTGTAGAGGCCAAAGGTAACTTGTATTAATCTCACGATGTCTCAGTAAATTTAATATTAAAATATTTATACAAAATTTTCTTTTCCTGAAGTGTCTACACTTTTTTGTGTGTGCTGTCTCTCTCCCTGCCCCCCCATATATATGAATAAAAGCAATTGCCCACCCCACCTGAGGAGTAGATGGAACATTCACCACTCATTCAACTAAAGCTCCTTCGAGGGTTGTTTTTCAGGCCTGAGGGGATAGGTAAGTGCTTTCTCTGTGGTTGGCCTCCCAGTGAGAAGAGTGTATGGTGTCTTCATTGTGCATTTGGAGTCCAAAATCCCCAGCAACTCCTCTCTTGCCACTGTCTGGATGTCTCAAACTCTGCATCTTTTTTATTCTTTCAAGAATTGATTGAGTTCCTACCCTGTGCAAGCGATGGAGATAAAATGTGGGTAAGAAGCAGACACAGCCTTCAGAGAGGCCCCCGCTCAGTAAAGCAGATAGACAAGTAAGTCCACATGGGCAAAGAACTCTTGCCCTTTCCCTCTGATAGGTCCAAAGCAGGGGATGACCACTTCTTAGGAAGATGACCTTGTATCTGAACCTTGGAAGACTAATGGGAATTTGCTAGGGGTCAAGGGGTGAGAGTGGGGTTTTTCCTATCGAGACTGGGTCTCATTCCAGGAGAGGAGAACTTTCCCCTTAACTCTCAGCTGAACCCTTCTGGAGCGTGGGAGTGAACAGAGCACAAAGGGCAGAGGGCGGAGCAGCCATAGAAGATGGGAAAGGCCCTGGAGGGAAGACCACTGGGACTTTCACAGCTGAGGTCCATCCATTCCAGAAGCCTCCACAGAGACGTCTAGTGTGAGGCCCGAGTGTGGCCAATATCTAGCCCTGTCAGCACAGGCTTCTGGGAGAATGAGAGGTGGCAGTTTGCTGCTGCTGTCTGAGGGGACCCGGGAACAGCAGGTGACGTCTTTTCTCTGCTAGGGGTCTTCTTTTCGGGTCTGGGGAGGGCTGGTTTGGTCCAGGGTGGATCACCATAGTCCAGGACAAGGGCCTGCTCCTACCATCAAGCCCCTGTCCTCCCCCTCCCGCTGCCCCCTGGCCCTGACTCAGGATTGCTTCCTGCATCTGCCTTCTCCCACCCTTCCTTCTTCCCACTACCTATGGTTGGATGAAACTTTGGTTTGCTTATTCAGGCAACACATGTATCGAGCACCTGCAACCATAAAAAAATAAGATAATTTCCAACAGGGATAAGGCTGTTAAGGAACTAAAGCTAAAGGATAGAGGTATAAAAGATAGGGTAGGGGGGTTCTTTAGCTACGATGGTCAGAGGAGGTCGCTCTGAGGAGGGGATGTTTGAACTGAGACCTGCATGGTGGACAGAATGAGATGGACATTGGGGTAGAAAGCATCCGCAGCAGAGAAGATGGCTGTACCCAGGCCATAGGGCAGGAATGGGACAATGTGTTTGGCTAGAATAGAGTGAGGCATGAGGAGAAGGTGCTGGTGAGCTCGGGGTGGGTGGGGTGAACAGGGGCTGGATTGCCAAACTCTTGAAGGAGGTCATACATTTCACTGCGATTGTGACCCAGACACACTAAAGTGCTATTTAGTGCAGAGATGAGCGGGAACATCTGACTCCTGGAAGAGAGAACAGGAGGTGAGGAAACAGGCAGCTCTTCTCTGAAGGGAGCAGAGATGGGGTGGTAGCTCCAGGTGAACCTGAGGTTTAAGAAAATTTTTGCTTTGTTTTGTAAGGTGCATTTATAGGATAATGAGCTCACTGAGAGAAAAATTAATGATGCCAGCAAGAGGGCCTGTCAAGAAGCAAAGAACGATTCATCTCTGTAACAAGAGGGAAGCTGCGGTCCACAGGCTCCAGCTGGTGACTCATGCTGGGATGATGAGGTTGTTTTTACCAGTTGGCTGCTTCTTCTTCTTCTTTTTTTATTTTCATAAGTGACATATGGAGCAAGTTCATCTGTGGAGAATATAGTTGGAGGGGGTGGAGAAGGTTTGAAGAAGGCATAAACTGTAAAAATTTCACTTGAGGAGCAAGAAGGAATCCATGGGGAAAATGTAATGTGTGTTGTGCAGCTTGAGTGTATTGAGATCTGGGTCAAAAATGTAGTGTGGCTGTGATTTTCTTCCTGTGCAGGTGCAGGGATGGGCAGATGGTTAGTTAAGTTTAATCAGAGCAAGGGTTTGCCAGTCAAGTACAAAGTGTGGAGAAAGGGAAGATTGCTGAGAGAGTTTGCAAAGAAGTGATTATGTAGACCACGGGCTCTGAGCTAAGGAGGAGCACAGTGAGGCCTGGTGTGTGATTATATAGTGCCTGCCTGAGCCCAACACAGTTTCTTAATGCCTTGCAGAAGGATAAAGTAGCAAGAACATTGGCTCACTGCAAAGTAAGGATTGTTGGAATAGGGTCAACAGAGAAAGCCAGGTAGAAACATAGAAAGAGGTGCTTACAAGATGGGGGTTTCTGGGAGATGGGGTGAAGATGTTGAGGATTGAATCCAAAGCCTCAAACATGCATTCTATCTCTGAGCTACCTTGGGGATGGGATTCTCGAACATTTCAGAGGTGGTGTCTGCACTGGTGATAACAAGATCAAGGGTGTATGACTGTGGGAGCAGATGCGGGGAGAGAAGATTAAAAGTTGAGGAGGCCTGTTAGTCATTTCCCCCATATTTAATGATGTTTAACATCTCAAGGGCCTTGCTAATCCTAGAGACTGGCCCTCCCAGGGCTGGTCAATTCCTAGTGGTAGCAATGGTATCAACCCCTCTGTAGTCTTTCCATTAATTAAATTCCAGGTACAGGAGGCTTAGTAATAGGAAGCTAGGAGACTGGGTAAATTCTCTCTATAGATGCTAAAGTTGGCAAAAATGAGAATGGCAAATAATACCAGGGTCCACTGCTAAAATGATGCAAGAATGAGAAGAAGAAATAGCAGGTAGGTAGGTACTAGCAGCAAGGGTGGGTAGTGTACTGGGAAAGTCTAATGGTATGCATTTAAGAGAACCTGAGGTTTGCCCAGAGGACAGCTATTCTACCCTGATTTCTATGTCAGGGTGGGACAAGTGTCTACTGTGTCCTCAAAGAAGAAAGTCATACTTCAGTGACAACAGGGAAAAAGAAGGGAAAAGAAGGGAAGGGGAGGGGAGGGAAGGGAAGGGAAGGGGAGGGAAGGGAAGGGAAGGGAAGGGAAGGGAAAGGAGGGGAGGGAGAGAAAGGGAGAAGGGAGGCTTTCCTGAGGATGGACCAAGCACTCCACAGGTCACAGTTAAGTGCCTTATGAGGTCTGCAAGAAGTGAATAACTGAGACCAGATGAGGGAATAAATATAAGAATAAGCACTGAGGAAATGGTGGGTGACAGGGAATCTGATGAGTTTTCAAAAAAAAATTCTGAGGGGGTTTTTATACATGAAAATAATACTTAAGAATTACTAATGTTTTACTATTCAGTTGATTAAGATAGTGAATTGAAATACTCCATGTCTCTTAAGCCTCAGATCTCAATTTATAAATATTTTTATTAATCCAGAAAGTTGTATATAAAAACAAGATTTTTTTCTACTTGCTCTTTGATTAACTCATAATTAACCCACAGGCTTTATAGATTAAATCTTCCTTTTTTATACCACATAGTTTCTGCACTGAATTGACCAAATTTCCTTAGCAATTCCAAACTACACTTGCAAATTGAATTTAGTTGTTTCTCATAAATACACTAACCCCCTACATTAGTATTCTCCAAGTAGCAGAACCGACAGATCCTGTGTTTGTGTGTGAATGTGTCTAAAGAGATTTATCAAAGCAAATTGGTTCATGCAGTTATGGAGGCTGAGAAATCCCCAGCTCTCTGTAGGCTGTAGACTCAAGGAGGCCTATGGTATAGTTTCAGTTCTAAATCAGAAACCCAGAGAGGCCAGACAGCCAGTGGTGTAGGTTCCCATCTGAGTCTTATTCCAAAGGCAGAAGACTGTTGTCTCAAGTTTCTGTTGATGTTGTTTTCAGTGTTGGGGGACTGGACTTGGGGTCATGTGCAGGCAAAGTGTGTCACTGAGGTACACCCCCACCTCCATGTTCCAGTTTTAAGACAGGCAGGTAGGGGACATTCTTTCTTATTCTGCCTTTCATTCTATTTGGTGGATTTGATAAGGTCTACCTACATTAGGCTATCAGGGAGGGCCACCTGCTTGACTTGACCTACTGATTCAGATGCTAAATCTCATTAAGAAACATCCTCACAGACACTCCCCAAATAATGTTTTGCCAAATGTATGGCACAGCCATAAATTCACCACCAAGCCCTTCTCCTCCCAGAAGTAGTCTTTCAAATCTATAAACAAAATTATTCTAAGCCTTCAAGTAACTCTTATTTACTTATTTATGCAGTACTAGATTTCAAACTCAGGGGCTTCTTAATTTTTTGTGTCTTCAGTATTAGAGATTGAATCGAGGGTCTTTGCACTGAGCTACATTCCCAGCCCTTTTAAATTTATTATTTTGAGACAGGGTCTCCCTAAGTTGCTAGGTTGCCCAGGCTGGACTCGAACTTCCTGTCTTCCTGCCTTGTGCGTGCTAGACGATGGCTCTCATACTGTGCTACAACTGCTGGTCCTTCAAACAGTGTTTGCAAATAGACAACAACAACAACAAAAACAGGAGATGTAACATGTTCTCTTAACTGTTTCAAATATCTTAAACCTAAAGTGCATGTGAAACAGCAGAACAATTAGAAAATTCTTATGCAGAGAGCCTTTTCTGCAGCCCAGTGTCCATCCATACTGCAATAGATTCTTTTCTTCATCCTTGGGTTACAGACTCTGTCAGCCTGGGGCACAGATCTATCCTTACAGCCACTTCCCACTGAGGTGCTACCAGCAGAGAGGAGATATTCATGACTGGGACCAGGGTACAGAAAGGATTCTAGGATGATTCATCACAAGTTGCTGATTATTAGGCTGAATTTCTGTGGGGGATAATTAGACTTTCCAAGTCTCTTTGTTGTTATAGTAAAATCTCCCACAGCTTTTTTGTTCTCTGAGTAGAGCTGATGAGATTTTGCACCCCCTACCAAGATTGTAATAAATCGTTCAGCTGCTTGGTTTGCAATGATGAAATTGTGATGTGGACCAAAACTTGAAAATAGCAAGCAACTACTTGGGCTTGGTTAGTATCCTGAAAACATCATTAAATACTTGTGCATACATTTCTTTTTCCCTTTCTTTCCTTCTCTCTCTCTTTTTTAAAGCATGCCTCATATGGTTTTGCAAAGAACTATTGCTTTCTTTTTATAATGCCCAAATTGTCACAAGTTGCTCAGCGGGAGCCCCTTGAAGTTGGCATTTTTATTCTTTAAGATAGTGTTGGAAGCTGGGTATGACAGATTTCTCCCTATTCAGGAGACTGAGGCAAGAAGATTGCCAAGTCTGAAGCCAGCTTGGGCAGCTGAGTGAAATCTTGTTTCAAAATAAAAGAAAGGCTGGGTTGTAGCTCAGGATTCCATGGGTTAAATCCCCAGTACTGAGGGTTGAGGGTGGGATTGCATTTGATAGTTCTGGAAGCCTACTTTCATTCTCGCAAAAAAATTGATAAGACAGGCTGTCAGCATGCTCAGGGGTCCCAAAGGAGATTTTCATAGGTGAGGTCCCAAGGTTAAAGAATGCATGTGTGCAAGACATCAGTGACAACAGCAGGCAGCATGGAGCAGAGCAGAGAGCCAGAGCAAGAGCCACCTGTGTCTTTACTGTATAATTCTTATACAAGTTGTTATTTCATATTTACATTCTTGTATAGTGCTGTAACCAGCACATGCGTGTTTACCTGTGCTAAGTCATGGTTATATAACTGCATCTCACTGTGCGCCTGCGCTACACAAATGGGGTCATGTCATAGATCTTTATTTTTCCTATCTTGTTTCAGATGCCAGCTTCTCTTATTCTTACAATATGTAAAAAATCCTTTCACTAATTGTAACATGCACATTGTATAATATATTGCATATATTGTCATGTATATTGTGATCCACAGACAACATTTCCAATCCTGGGCCCATACCCTGGGCTGCACTGCCCCTTCTTTGTATTTTTATGACCCTTATTTTTCCACTGACTATCATTCTTTGGTGTCTTTTTGCTATTAGAAGCTTCCTGACATCAGGACTTCTGGCAATGACTACCATGCATATCATTTGATTAATATCTTCTCATTGAAGCATAAATGACTGTGCCTTTCCAAAAACTGCTACCAACAGTGCTCTTCCAAGTGTTGGATTTCTTGCTTCCTAACATTCTCTCCTAATAATGTACAGTCCTCATCTGTAACTGGTCAGTCAGTACCATCTACTAAAATAGTCTCATTGGTTAAGGCTCAGTCTCATTGTCTGTTTACTAAAACGTCCCCATATGTCACTCTAAGCTGCCCCTGCCATGTCAGTTCCTTTCCCCAGTGCAACAGATACATTGCTCCAATGGCTTGGAGCAGGGAGGCGCTGGGCTGCTCTGTCACCCACAGGTGTGTTTCTAGTGCTTGCTCTTCTGGCAGCAAGGATGGAATGAGAAACAGAGATGGCTCCTCTCCTGGGTTCTGTGGCACCATACCTGATTACCATCTGATTTCTTAGTATCAAGCTGATTACTTCTAGAGAACGACATTTGCTAATTTATAGTTTTTCTGTATTACACATTTAAAGAGCAAATAATGAAATAAAATGTAAACATTATAATGCAATACTTTTGTGCCTAGAGATTCCAAATCTAAAAGTTTAAATAAAAAGTAAATCTAAAGCTGTAATACTTCTATTAATTATAATGTTATAGAGAAAAGAGTAGACTGGACATGAAGAATTCTGTATTCTGCCCAAACCTGGTCTTCTGTTGATTCTGTTCATAAACTTCTCTGGGCATCAGTTTCCCCATGCATGTCACAATAATAACATTTATAATTAATAAGTATAATAAGTGAGCATATTTAGTCTGAAATGTGAAATGTTCCAAATCCACTATGACAAGATGGCTCAAATGGAAAATTTCACACCTGTTCTTATGTGATGGGTCAGAGTCAAACACAGGCACAACAAATGTATAAATTTACCTTCAGACTATGCATGTAGGACGTATATGAAATATAAACCTCATACTATCTCCAAGTTATCTTGTTATCTATAAGAAAATACCCCCAAATCAGGACAAATATGGAATCTGAAACACTTCTGGTCCCAAGCATTTTGGATAAGGAATATTCAACCTGTTTTTACTCTGTGTCTCAGAATGTTGTAAGGAACTGTGATGGTTAATTTTGGTTGTCAATCTCACTGGTTTAAGAGATGCCAGGAGATCAGTGAAGCATACTTCTAGGTGTACTTGGGTGGGACATGGGGCTTTCTGCTCTCTACCTCTTTTTTTTCCACCATGCCCTTCTGCCATGACATCTCTGCAAGGGAGATGAGCAACCATGGACTGAAACCTCCGAAGCAGTGAGCCAAATAACCCTCTTCTCCTTCTAAATTGCAGGTGTTTTTTCCACTAGTAATGGAAAGCTGACTAAGAAAAGATTACTGAGAAAATAGTTCACAAAATAAAAGTCCCTGAAAAAGGAAGCAATTATAATTATTTCTAAAATGAAAGAACTGCAAGAAATTATTCTGCAACTCTTTGGTTATATTTTTCTTGGGCCTCAGAAAATGATGTAATAATCCAAGTCAATGCAAGAGAAAGAGAGCTGACAGGGATGCAATGACAGCTGCTAACCCCAAGATTCTCATTCACTCAGCCAGGCCTTGATTATATCCATAAGCCCTGGAGAACCTAGATAATTGATCTCATAAAGAACCCCTAAATGTCATATAGCCAAGAGTTTTGCTAAAGGAACTTTCTTATGGGATTTATTGCAGAAGAAAATACGATAAAGTTTCCTTGCTTTTTTCCCACCTAAAAGTGATCTTAAAAAATGGAAGAAGCTGGGCATGGTGGCATATGCCTGTAATCCCAGCACTCGGGAGGCTGAGGCAGGAGGATCGCTATGAGTTTAAAGCTAGCCTGAACTGCATAGCAAGACCCTGTCTCAAAAAAGAGGGCGAGGGTTGGGGAGGAAATGACAATTTATGAGTGATTTTGGTTCATGGTTGGAATGGTCCTAAGTTTACAACTTGTCAGAAGAGGACTTTACTATGACATACATATCTACCAGGTGGTACTAGATCCCCAACACTATCCATACAACCATACAACTGTTTATAGTTACACAAGCTGAGATAGACTTATGGGGTCAATTTAAAAAATAAAGTAAATGTTTATACTTTAAAAACTTGTTACAGTGAAAGACACATTTGCACTAATCCCCCTCAAAATACGTACTCCCCTTCTCTTCAAACACTTATCCCATGTTCTTGCATCTTTCTGAAGCACTTCTGAAAGTCTTCTTTCATGAGTGTCTTCAGTTGTGCTGTCGTGGCTGCCTCAGTGTCTTGAATTGATTAAAAACATTTACCTTGCATGGTCATTTTGACTTTGGGGATGAGCCAGAAAACATACTATAGTGTTTTTACAAGTCTGCCTTCTGTTGAGTGGCACTCAGCAGCAGCATTCACAGTATTTTTGATCACCTAGTAAAGACACTCATGAAGAAGGACTCCAAGAAGTGCTTCAGAAAATGTCAAGAATGATGGGATAAATGTGTTCAAAGCCAGGAGGACTATTTTGAGGGGGATTAATGGCAATGTATCTGTTACTATAACAAAATTTTTACTTAAATGTACTTGGATAATTATGGGTTATTATAACATCTTCAGTCTTATTAGTTTGTGACATAAGAATGGAATAATGTTAGCAAACACAATCAAAGGGTCTGTTCTTACCAAAACACATTCATCAGGATTCCTGCTTCACAATAACCTCTTGGCCAGGGACTGTGAGACTGCAGCTTTTGTGTTTTCCAGTGGTTCCGAAGGCAGTCTGTAAGCTCTAATCACCTCTCAGTGTCCCCTCCAGGCCCAGTCCCCCTTTGCCAGTGTCTGCCACTGGCACAGCTACTTGGGAGCCAGTGTCTGCACCAATGGTGCTCTTCCTGGGAGTGGTCAAAGCCAAGGTTGGCGGTGTTGGTTCTGTGCAGAGGTGGGAGACCAGTGCCCTCCTCAACAGTGCCTGGCTCTATCTCTCCTTACAGTGGCTTACATCTGGCTCAGGAAGGCTTTGCTCCACACTAAATCTTGCACCAAGAAGTTTCTAACACTGCCATCATACTAATACCATTTTATTTTTAGAAAGAAAAGTGGTAATTTAAAATATTTTTATACTCACATTAAAATTTTTTTAAGAAACGTTATTTCCAAAAATGATTGGAATGTAAAACGCAAAGGACCCCAGTGACCTGCAGGAAGTGAATGAGAGGAACTGACCTCATGGTGATTTTTATTCTACAATCAGGTATGTGTTGAGAGCTTTGCTCTGCAGATGCTTCATCTCCTCAAGCACCTTTTCTCCTGCCTTCTCTGCTGGTTGTGTTTGATCTTTCACTTCTCTGAATATAAAAAAAAAAAAAACAAGACATACACTCAATAAAATATGAAATACCCAGTACTGCCAGTGAAAGCTGGAGTTTTTGTTCTAATATGTAAGGAAAGTTTTAATTATACTTAGCAAGAATTTACTAACCAGTGAGAACATCTGGCTTGCAGGGAATTCAGATCTGGTCTCCAGTCTTGGCTGCACCAGCTTCCTACCATGAACAAGTTACCTGAATGTCCAGTCTTCACCTGAAGACCATGCTAATTCCTATCTTCCAGTACAGTTATAATGATGAAATGAGAATTTATTCACCGAGATCCTAGTATGATGTCTTCTAAATGCTCAGTCAGCATTAGCTAGGTTTTCATCTTTCTTGAGTAGATACACGTGATTTCTGACTCTATGATGGCTGCAGAAGGAGGGTTTTGCACCTGATCTAGCAGCGGCTGATACAGGGCAAAGACTGATGGTGGGCATGACCAGAGATTGCTGGAGAGCACTTTAGCTGAATGTGGCATAAAACAAGGGTGGCAATTAAGGAGTATAATTGAGGGCTAAGACAAGGGCTTAGAGATACAAGTATCTGGCTTCTTAGGGGTCAACTTGCCTCCTTGTGGGCTGGGGCCAAAGGTAAAGGTACAGATAGAGACGTAATTGAGACTGTTGTGTTGTTTACAGCATCCATATACCTGCGAGGAAATGATGAGTGTACTGATTGAAAGGACAGATATTTAGTATAAGGACTGTAAACTCAGCTATATGCTATGCCTGGAAAATAGGAGAATCTAACATAAAATTAAATGATCCTGAAACATTTTCCTCCCTCCCTGGCTCCTTTCCTCCTTCCCACTCTCTTTTTTTCTGTGGTCCTGGGGATAAAATCCAGGGCTAGGGATATGCTCTACCATTGAGCTGTATCCCCAGCCCTAGATGGCAATTTTAATGGAGGAAATTAAACATCTTTTATATGTTATTTTGTTTTGTTCCATTTGTCCAACTTCTTGTTGCACGTGGTGTCTGACAGAGCTCTTAGTTTCTGACTGAGGTTGAAGTGAGACAGAGAGAAGCGCCTGACTGTCATTTTTCTTTGTCCAGGCTGGAAAGGGAAATTGGTTTGTCTGGTGGCCAGCATGTCCCTCCAGGTTACCTCCTTTTGCTTCCTTTCTCCCCTTCAGTCTAGCTGCACTCATGTTAGAGTGGGGAATGGTGACTCCCTGGCTATCAAATCACCATTCTCCACTCTAACATGAGCACAGCCAGACAGGCAATGCGGTGCCCCTTCCCACTAAACAATACTGTTGCCATTTATTTATTTATTTATTTATTTATTTATTT